ACCGACCCAAACAAATGAAAAAATAAGCCATAAGAATAACAAAGCTCAAGAATTTGTACTGATTCTTTTATAACCACCATATGAACAGAAATAACTGTGACAGAGATCGAACACGGCCTCCGGGAAGGAAGGAGACGGATATCGGGTAGGGCAAGAGTGAGGGGTCGAAAAAAAAATACCTCATATCACGGATCACAGCTTCAGGCAAGCTCGAAACCGAAGGCGAGACGGGAAGGGCGAGGGCAAGGGGGAGAAACGGGAAGGACAACACGGGAAAAACAACCTAAACGCGAGAAGCATACGCGGAACGGCGCCCCTAACCGGATTACCCCGTCCTTAAGGAAATAGCGGTATTAAAACGACGCGTTTTAAAAACTTGTCATGCGAACGGAATTTCCAAACGGAAGGGCGGCGTTTTCAAAACGCCGCCGCTTCCCAAACGCGCCCCCAAACGGGCCCTAAGTCTGAAAAATTTAACTTTCAATTGATTTTCAAACTTTAGGAGTCTTAACTCTCAAAAGCCTAATTTCAAATCATTTTCTTAAGTCTTGTGAACTTAAATTTTAAAAATCAAAATCTTAATATTTTAAGTCTTAAAAAATTATATTTAAATGGCCCAGAACTTTAAAATTTTAAAATTCTAAGTGTCTAAATTTAAAAGCCCAAATTTTAAAGTAATTTTATACCTAAAGAGCTTAAATATTTAATATCTTGGGTCCCCAATATTTTAAACCACAAGAGTCTAAAATTTTGAAAAACTCTGAGTTTACAAGTCATTTTAAACTTTGAGTGAGTGATGTTTTATTTTTTTAAAAAAATTCAAATCCCAAATATTTTAAAGTGATTACAAGTCCAAATTCACTGAAAATTCTGGCAGCCTCCCGGCGTCGACCCCCGTTTGTGAGCATCGGAGCATGCCAACCTTCCAAGATAATTTAAGAGACGAGCGAGACACTGTGGTCAGAGAACAAAAAGAGAGACACTGCGATCAGAGGGGAAGAAGAAGAGGTGCGAAAGGTTAGGGCAGGGGAGATCGTGCGGTGAGGCCTTCGACAGAGTTGCGGCAGGGAAGAGGCCTCGGTGGAGGGCGATCACGTGAATAGTGGCGCGACAGAGAGGGTTTCGTGGCTTCAGCACAAGAGAGTCGCGGCACAGAGGAGATCGGCTCGTGGGTTGAGGAATTTGGTGTCTCCTGTTTCAACAGGTGAGAAATTGCGACTTTGATGTGGGGAAATCGGCAGGAAGCCGAAGAACATGAAGGCGAGGGCCTCAGAGAATTAATGAGAGTAGGAAGAACGGTAGAAACATAAGGGGGCCTACGACTCTGTAGCGATCGAGAGAAAGGGCAGTGCAGGCGTTCATGAAGAAAGAAGAAGAATGGTTTAAACAGAAGAAAAAATTTGGGGATTACACACTAGGACAGGGAGTGGAGAATAAGTGCAGTGAAACTGACGAGCAAAGAATAAGATACATCCAGGAAATTGGTAAGGGATATACCATTCCCACGTGTGGCTTTTGAAGACGACTGTAGATTTTGAACAGGAAGAAAGTGGTGAAGCGGAGAGTCAAGTGGAAGTGCTTCGTGCAGCTTGTTGCGACAGAAGCAGATTCCAGAACAAGAGGGGAGAGGCCAAACAGGAACTGACGGGGAGAGATGTGTGAATAACAGTTTTGTTCGTTCTTTTTAATTGAGGAAGCGGGAACAATTATTCTATTGAGCGGGGAACTTAAGCGGGAGATATAAGTAAGTAATTAATTAATTAATTATGTCCCCTTTTTTTAATATCTTACGGTGAACAGGCTCAAAACTTGACAATAATTCAATACCAAAATATCTCTCTCATTGGTGGTAACTCAAATAAATCATTCAGAAAAACTTCTGCATAATCCTTTACCACTAAAATATCATACGGTGGTTTCACTTCTTTAGTTGTATCTTTTACCTGTGTAAGTAAATATCTATTTCTACGGTTTATAATTTGAAAGCTTTGAAACATGTGATTATCTTAGATGCAAGCCCTCTATCACCACAAAATTTGATTTTGGTATATTAATTTTGCTTGGTTTATTATTATAATTTATGGTTGTGAATTGGTTAGATAACATATTCATATCTAAGATTGCATCAGATTCTACCATTGACAATACAATCAGTAGTGCTTTAAAATTCCTTTCATAAAAGTTCAAATTTATCTCACATTTAATTATCAATTTGACATTTTAATAGATAAAATTATTGGTATTAGTGTAGCATTCAAACTCACCAATCCAACTAAATCTTCTGCAATAAATTAGTGGGTTAAACAATATTTGAATTGGCATTTTTTAGACAGATATAATACCTATAATGAGATGAGAATGTATTGGATAGTTAGGAATGAGTTATTTAACTAAATTTTGAGTTCATAATCATATTAATGAAAAGTATTGTATTGTATTTATAAAAGTTCAATCAATTAAAAAAAATTAATGTAAAACTTACATATGATAATCTAAGGTGAATTCTTAGCTTCTTGCTTCAATAATGCATACACACTGGGTGGACATTTTGTTGGGTTTGACTTTGATTTGACACTAATCTTGTGGACTCAACCATCTACTTGTCGAAACTCCTCTTAGATGATGCCACACTGACCTTGGTCTCTACTGGAGATCTACATCCCAAAGTAGGATAATTTTCACAATCTCTCTTGGTTGGCGGCACCAGAAGCGTGATTGGATCCAAATAGACACTTGTTCTTATGAATTTTTTCACATTTTTGATACTTCTGAGCATCACTATGACTTCCAAAATTATTCGATCGGCCCCTTTTGTAATTGAATTCCCTGATTGAGATGATTGCTTAATTTAGGTACTCTGTGAAACCCTAAATCTCTTCTTTATTGAGTAACCTGAAAGTCGAACACAATTCTCCTAACTCTCTCCACTAATCTAGAATAATCATAAATTCCAAGGAATCAATGACCATCAAAATAAATCCTTTGATCTATAAGGGCATGTGATATTTCTACTCGATATTAGAATAAGCTGCAGTAAATATCCTTAGAGCATAGTATACTCGGTTTTATGCTGCCGATTGAACGATCACATTGAACCAGTCTAATAAATTTATGTTGTATTTGTCTCTTAACTCAAAATTGTACAAACTAATCTCTAAATTTTCTTACAAACTCTTACTATTACACTAAATGGCTAATTCGGCTACCTGTAAGTGTTTTTATTATTATATCTCTGCTCGTTAAAGACAAAATTTAAAAGGGTAATCTTTCTTTCATGTGGGCATGACATGTCATTTGTAATCTTCTTCACTCATATTAACCAATTTATTAACTTCTAACAATCATTCTGCGCTAAATGAGAGGTATTCTTATATTTTGAAATAGTTTTAAATATTTATTCATTTGTGCTCCTATACTGCTACTCGGTCGAGCTCGAGAATTTCTGATTAACTGGGTCACAGTAGTTATCATTTTAAAAAATGTATCAGTACCAATTGTAATATTGTGCAGTATTTCAATTAGGGGTGTAAGGGAGTCGAGTCGACTCGTGAGTGGGCTCGAGCTCGGCTCGATGAGTGGCTCATGAATTGAGCTCGATGAGCTAACAAGCTAAGCTCAAGGTAGCCCCATCTCGACTCGTTAGCTCAAAATTTATTAAATTTGAATTCTTTATATTTAAAATATTATAAATATTTTAAAAATAATATTTGGTATTTTATATTGAGTGATTTCTTATTATTTATCCTCTAATTGTTTATTCTATTTGTATTTTATTATGATATTAATTTAAATTAATATTATTTTCTCTCTTTTATAATAAACAAGCTTGTTCGTGAGCCGGCTCAAACATGATAAAATTAAACAAGCTCAAGTCAAAGGTGGCTTGAGCTTAATTCTACTCGCTTACACCCCTAATTTTAATTCCTATATTACTCTGAGTTTTTTTTATTATCTAGAGTTTTGAAATAAAAAATAAAGCAATCTAGTTAGACTAAATAAACTTTCAATTTATATTATTTATAATTTTTTAATCAATCTAATAATTTTTGTAGGATTAAAATTTATTTTTTTATATTGCTTTTCTCTTTGTCCGAACTGAGAGCTTGGAATTGTAAAGACAATATCGGACAATCGGACGGTGATAACATATTCATCTAATCATTCTAATAATCCACAATAACATTGATCAAAATAATAAGACCCACTAAATTATAAATGTATCTAAAAAATCATCCAAACTAAGATAGAAGGACATCCGGAGTGTAATAGCACTAGTAAGAAAGAAAACCAAACATAAAACCACAATGTGTGATATGTGGGTTTTTGATATAACTGATGCAGAAGCGGTTCAATCACAGGAATTGAACTTAGCAGCTCCTGATAAGGTAGCTGTCTTCCGGTGCGATTTCTTACCTTTTTTTTTTGCCATTGGTTCTTTGGGTCATAGATGGATAGATATACAGATTGGTCCTTTTTTTTGGAATTGAAGGGAATGGTGGAGTAAAAGAGCAGAGAGAGAAGAGTGAAAGAGAGAGAATTTTCAGGGTGTGCAAATATTTTTTGTGTTACTTTCTAAAGTAGTGTAGTAGTCATCTGTTTGTGCAGTCATAGATGTAAAAAATGTAATTAGATATCATCATACCACGTAAAATTTTTTACCACTTTTTTGTGTTTTTTTAGTTTTTATTTCCTTCTGTCGGGTGCAAGAATTAAGTCTTTCAGTTAATCATGGTTATTATTATTGTTTAAGCACGAGCTTTTCCCAATAACTAATTCAACTGGCTAGGCTCTTGGCTGACAATAAAATTGGTTTGTAATCCTATAACTTATTGAGACAATGATTTGAGCTCGAGCTAGCATTTATTGTCGGCTTCGAGCTTTCTCATTTAAAAAATTTGTGCAAGATATATTTGTCAAATATTTGAATTTAAAGAGTTTTAAAATAAAGTTGATAATGAAAGTACCGTTCAGCCTCTAACTTGAGCTTTTTTGTTGTATAGAGGTTATTTGGCTCCAGAATATGCTGTACGCGGCCAATTGACACGGAAGGCAGACATCTACAGCTTTGGTGTTCTTCTAGTAGAAATAATTAGCGGACGAAATCACACAAACACAAGATTACCATATGAGGATCAGTTTCTTCTGGAAAGAGTATGGAGATTTTCTATTTTCTGCTTGCAGTCATTATTTTCATTGTTTTCAATAAAGAGCAAATTAATCTCGCCCTTTTCATATCTATTCCATAATTTCTCTTTCTCTCTATATTTTTATCAAGTTAGCAGTCATTATTTTATTTATACTTGCAAGCTTATTATTCTGTTGTTTTAATATAACATGGAAAGTGGAGGAAGTTGGGAAGTGTCGACAATTAAATTTGTTGAACACGATGGATTCATGAATATTTCTGCTTGGATAATTTTATTGGAGACTAGGTATGCACTTCATGCTTGATGTATATGTTAATCGGATATATTCTCGTATAAGTTTGGATGAAGTAACGTCATGTGAATCCTTTTGAAATTGTAGCTAAAACCCAACTGGATATTTATTATATGGGTTTAAAAAATTGAAACAAATACTATTGAGACTAAGAATTCTAGGAAAGTTGAAACTTTTTGTGAAGCCTAACAAATACTGTTGAGACTTAGAATTCTAGAAAAGTTGGAACTTTTTGCAAAGGTATTTAATTCATACGCATCATATTTTTATCCTCCATTAGTGCATCCTCGTCATAAATGTAAAGACGTTGAGCTAGCAGGGTGTTTGTTTGTTTATTGTTTTGGATGATTTACATACATACCGCTCAATTCCTATATATTTACATGTCTTAAATAGACTTCAATTTTAAACATATATGTTTCCTTATCTATACATGAAAAGTATATTTCACTTTTAAAGAAATTAAAATAGTGTTATTTTTGACGTGATGTGTAAGATTTGGGTGCTATAAATGTAAAAAATAGAGTTTGGGTGTTAGATATGTAAATACATAGGGATTGGGTGATATGTATGTAAATGCCGCTATTATTTTCGTGAAGCATTTGGCATACTTTAGTCACCCTTTAGTCCCACGTTAAAATATTACAACATTCTACGAATAAATGGAGAATTGACCAAGTATTTTTCTATTTCAATTGGATTACATTAGAGATTGGCTTTAAGTCCTATCTTTTTGCTTTAGTTATGGGTCCTTTCATTGGACATTTACAGGAGGATGCACCTCGGTGTATATTTTCGTTGTTGATATCCTTCTTGTGGATAAAATTAGAGAAAGAGCTCAGGAAATACTTTAATTATGGAGGCCTACTTTGGAGTCTGAAGGGATTTGTTTGAGTAGATCTAAAGCTCAATACATGGAATGTATTTTTAGTAGTAGCAGCTCTATTGGCAGAGTTGTAATTATTGGTGATCAAATCATTGAAAGGTGTTGAACGTTCTAGATGTCTCAGGTTTATTGTTAAAAGTGATGGTGATATAGATGGGGATTTTATTTGTTGAATTTAAGTTGGTTGGTTGAAATAGAGGAATGCGTCGGGCCTATTGTATAATAGGAAAGTACCACTTATACTTGAAAAAAATTTTGCAAGATGATGGTTAGACATGTAATGCTTTATGGCGCAGAATGTTGTTCTTTCAAAGAGAAGCATAAAACAAAGTTAAGTGTTGCTGAGATGAGGAGGCTTAAGTGGCTGAGTGGCTTGACACTTAGAGACAAAATGCGAAATGAATATATTTGTGATAGATTTCGTGTAGCTCCAGTGGCATACAAGATTAGAGGGAGTCGTTTAAATGGTTGTTCACTTTAAACTCAGTAGGAAGCAATGAAGAAAAAAGATTCATGTAGCCGGCCCCACAGTGGGATAAAGGCTTGTATTTATGTTGTTGTATTATTGCTCTTTAAATTAAGAAGCATAGTTAACCTGTTTGAAGTTACAGCACTACGACGTGCTGAAGGATAAAGGGTTGATTTTTTAAAGTTGTTCAACAATAAGTTATAATTTCATATTTTTAATCCTTAATGTGTTATTAATATATTAATATTCAATATTAAGAAATAATTTTAAAATCATAATTGAATCCTAGCAAGTGAATTAATTTATACAAGTTATATGATTTATATAATGGTTTATTTATTTAGATTTGTAAAATTTATACTTTTATATAAAAATCTAGGTACTCGTTAGAATTTTTAGGTCGTTTAAATACTCGTTCACTTGTTATAAGCAAATCAAGTAAAAATCAAGTTCAAATATTGAAAATTTTAAGCAAGTAAAGCTTGAACAATATGTGAAAGCTCGACGCAAGCTTAAGCTGAACATGAACAACTTCTAATTGTATGTTTTTTATTCTTTTTAAGTGAACTCGGAGTTGTCAACTTATCTATATACATTTTATTATCGTATGATACCCCCTCCAAATAAATCTTTCATATCATATGAATGATCCGAAGAGGAGAGGAATTAAAAAGGACGGAGTATACGACGAAAATAGACAAACAAATTTAAAAAATATATATGAAAGACTTATGTATAAGTAATCCTCGTATGATAGGTCAAAAGCATATGCCCGAACAAGATCAGATAGAAATGCATCAAAACACGATATTCATGAAGAAAACCCTTACATAACCCACCAATAACCACATAAATAAAAAAAAATATTTTTGTTTTGAGGTTAAGAGCACTCCCAAATGAATTTTTTCTTTTGGTTAATTACATCTTGGGGGGTACCCAATAATACTCTTAATAAAAGGGATCTTGCTTAAATTATCATAATCAATAAATAGATCATCAAAATGATGGTTATCTTGCAGGAGCATCTTGATGCTTTCAAAGCTCTTGCTAAACCACAGGGTAGATAGTGAATCTCTCACATCCTAAATGGGTAGTTGCTTATCGGCATACAGAACCTGTGAAATAACCAAGTCGAGTCATTGTTCACACTAGGTTTCTCGGGCCTAAAGGAGTCATAAGGGCATAGGTGAATCACCGTATCTTAAATGGCGGTGGTCTATCTACAATCGGGGCCTATGAGACGACATCAATGAAGTGTCAAAATGTTGACAGGGCTCAAAAGAGCTCGACAAAGTAGAGGTAGAGTAATCTTTATTAGGTATAGATAGCCGGGTCAGGATACCACGGATCCGTCATCCCAAGTTATTAGGATCTTAAGTCTACCTGATCGTGAAGGTAGTCAACTCAACATAACTAAAGATCCCCTGTCAGCAATCTGTGAATTGCGTCGTCCAAGGGAATCTCGGTAGCCCTAAGGTCAAAAGAAGGAAACTCTAAATCCCATGACCTATGCAGGTAGAGCTTACAGAGATGAGACTTAAAACCTGTCAAATAAATGACAAAAACGCCACCAGAAGGAAGCAAAAAGAGAGGTCCAGCTATAAAGCTGAAAGCATTCTCAACAAAGAAGTTACTTTCTATCTGGGCAGGGGAAACCTCTAACACCATAACTTACTAAACTATCTAAGTAAAAATCTATGTTGGGTCAGTAAGGTTGAAGAAGCATGAGAGCTTCTCCTCGAGTAATGCAAATATGATGCAGTTATCTGCCATAATTATAAGCATGGAGGCCCTATTAAGTATGATGGGGTGTATAGCCATGCTTGTAAATCGTTTCAAAATCGGCCATAAGGCCATGCAGAAAAGTAAGTGCAAGCTTTAAAATCTTGAAATATTTTAATTCTAAAATTTTGATTAATCTTAGTATTTTATTATTAGGAATTTGTAAAAAAATTAGAATTTTAGAGTTCTTAAAGAGCCTAAATTATACGCATGATTCCCAAATAAACCACACAAAAAAAAAAACGATGAAACTAACAAAGCACATGCATAATAATAAACAAAGCAAGGTAAGCACAAAAAAAATATAGAAGTCGGTAGAGGTGTAAATGAGCGGAACACGAGCGAGTCCAAGCTCAGCTCGTGTTCGGCTTGTTTATATTTTAAGCTCCAAAAATGCGTTCGTATTCGACTCATTTGCTTAGCGAGCCGAACACGAGTCGTTCACGAACAAAAACTTTTTTTGGACAACCCTAATCACATTGTCATAAGATGTTAAGGATTGGGGCAAAATTTTAAACATTATTTGAATCTAAATTAATAATTTTAATCAAATTTTCTTCATTAATACTTTTTATTGATTATAAATCTTTGTAGCCTTGTAGTCAATTAATTTTTTTAAAATTACTACTCATCAAAGATATATATATAATTGCTTCTTCACGAGCCGAACACGAGTTGTTCGCGAACAACGAGCTGTTTTGACAGCCCTAGAGGCCGGCGTCACTGGGTAGACAACATATCCCAAGAAAGTAGGAAAACGGTTGGATTCTGCATATACATGCTCGGTCCCGATTCTATACATGAATATAAATTCAAAATTAAGGCGTGGGACACGAGCACTTCTCTCGATTCCCGTCATGTGGTTTGGTGAATCATGCATCTCAAAACCCGTGCCCGTATCTTATTTTCAATATAGACTTACTCCTAAGAACTCTAACAAATACATGATCAAATAACAAAAAGGAATTCGACCTGCAGAAAAGTTAGCACGGGTTATATCATGCAGTGCATATGTGTCATGCCTGGTTGGAGGAGCTTAGCAACACCTACATAAAATGTTAGTCTTTAAATCATTACTTGCTCCATTTTTGTGTGTGTGTATTTAGGTATGACTCCCTGCAAGAAAACTGTCTCTAATATACTATTGCACATGTTCACACTTAGTAAACACACAAAAGCATAATCAAAGTAATGTCTGACTAAGGTAATCAAACTAGTAAAGAACAATAACCACACATCGAAAATGACCACCTGGCACTATAATCCTAGCTTAGCATACTATCTAACAAAATTGTCCTAACATAGCATCCAATTCCGGCCCCGCTCTAAGGATTGAAGGGATCTAGAATATGTTACTGAGGTGATGGCATTTTGAAAGGGTAGCCTCACATATGACTTACATAGTTTAAAAATAGGGTGGATTACATTTAATATATATTTAAAAATATATTCTTTTTTCTTATGTTTTTAAAGTAAAGTATCTTGCAAGTGGCGTACTTTAGAGTCATTGGAACCTTAGCACAGTCATATTGTTTGGTGCTCGTAATACAAAAACTCACATTGCTCTCCGAGTCATCCTCGCGAACAATGCTTTTTAAAATATTACGCCCAACAATCAAGTCACTAATCTAACAAATCAACTTGCCATCTAAATGGACTAGGTGTTGCACATGCAAAAATATAAATATGAGGCAGCATGTGATCGCTCCAATGAACATATGTGGCATACTAAGTGACTAAGCACCAGGTTTGAATATTCATATTATACCCTAAAAAAGAGTTTAGCACGCTATGGTCGCTCAAGCGAACATGTGTAGCGCACAAAACAATTAAGTATAATGTGAATGTTCCAAGAGGTATGAACATTCGCCCTATACCCAAAATGCGCGTTTAGCACGCTACGGTCGCTCAAGTGAATATGTGTAGAATACTAAATAATTGAATATGATATGAATGTCTGAACGGGTATGAACATCCATATTACACTCTAAACGTGGTTTAGCAAGCTATGATCGCTCAAGCTAACATATGTAATGCACTAAACTACACTCAAGTCCATATATCTGGACACATGCCCTTTAAATTCATATGTAGCTTGATTATGATGGAACCATTATAATATATTTAAATTATGAGACCATAAGTTTCTTGATAATTAAGTCTATGATTGTTGAGCCGTAAGATACATTTGATAGGGCATAATAACCTTCGATAACCATGATTGGTCTTAAAATCAACCCCTTGATACTCTTCCCCATTAGGTCCATGAGGCCTCCTTAAACAATGCAACACATGATTTCTGACAATGATCCTTATGTTAAATTGGGTTGATTATCTCCATTATCTAAGTATGCTAATTTTTTATTATTGCCTTGGTTCACATAATCACGTGATTTTGATCAAATTTCTCATCATTTTCACATCATTCACTCTAAGTTTATAGTAATATATATATGTTTCTCTAATTTAAATTACTACTCTTAAAGTAATGCATTGTAATGGCTATGGACTTGCCTTAATTTAAAATGCTCTCTCGTGATCAGGATATAACTATAATGGCTTGTGCCTATCAGAATGGTCGAACATGATTAAAAAATCTTATAGAATCAAGTATGCAATATGCCTTCTGAAATTTGATAAAAAATCACTCTAATATGAATATGGTTGGGTGGAAATTTTCAATGTCTATTGCATGCATGATAGTTTTCATTGTATTATTCTGCCAACTGGGAAGGAATAATCACGAGGCAAGGCAAATAGTTTGCATATGCCTTCAAACATGCATTATTATCAAAGAAGTCGCTCGTGTTCCATGGGATACTTGACAAGCGGAATACATTGATAAAATCTTCGAGCGTGCCTGGATAAAGTGGGTTTGCCTTTGTGCCTTTATTGTGTGAGGGTATCGCCACTTCTAGTTAGAATCATTTACTGTTAAAAGAGAGAACAAAGCTGAGCCTAATATATTAATTTTCACTCATTTTCAACATAAACTCTTAAACTTATTTGTGAGTGCAAACGTTTGTATCTATATACCAATTAATTTTAAAATTATTTGATTTGTGACAAACTCTAATATTCTTGCATTAGCTTTCCTGTAATAAAATTTTGTCTGGGCTCTTTACTTTTATCACCACTCTTACTCAAATGAGAATTATTTTCTTTGAACTCCCTCGTGTGTCAACCCACTCAACTACATGGTGTTAAATAAGAGTCACTCACCAACATGCTCGACTATATAGAGTAGAAACCCTTCAGAATATATAAGATTAACAAATGGTTTTAACCACTTCATCTCAACAAAGCTTTTGGCTATGATACCACTTGCTTATCATTCATGGCTTCTAGGTCGTATTTGAAATATTTTTCATCATTCTAGTTGTGATATTCTTGAGAAAAATGCTGCAGGCAATATTCTTGGTGAGCGATAAGTGTAAAAATTCAATTGCTTAATTTTCTCATAAATTTAACTTCTTGGTTCATGGATATGAACTTTGTGTCTAAATGAGTTGGTGTTTTTTCTTGTATTTATAGAATTTGTTTTGAATTTTTTGAACATCCACAATCATTTCCATTAAACTTGTTGATCTTCTAATTTCCATCCTCGCTGGCTTTTGCTCCTAAAAGTTCACTACTGCTTCTGATACCACTTATGAAGGAGCGTTTATTAAAATTGGGCCAAATTGGAGCGTGATATATCAGCGACCAAATACATTTTCAGCCCAAACGCTTAAAGCTTAGGGTCAAGCCAACCATTTGATATTTCTATAACAACATACTCTTCAACCATCTAAAGTAAGCTAAACACGATACTCTCTGTGCTTTAATAGCTAACTTCATCTGCTCTTGAAAGTATGGGTTAGATGCTAAATTCAAAGGAGCATATCCTACTCCTAGAAACAATGTCAATGGTCAAGGACAATGCTTCGAATAGATGATTATATGTCCTATCACGTACAATTACAGAAAAAAGGGTTTGACTTTTGACATCCGAAAGTAGATTTCTCTAATTAACAGGAAAGCCCATAGGCTAGATGTGCCTTTTGGGCTTAATAGATCGAGTGCATTTGTCGCACATTTGAAGTTTGGTTGGAAGCAGACTGTATTTGTCGACCATGTCTATCAAATTCACAGCTACGAAACTTGCCTCATAGAAGGACTTGGTGAGTTCCTCTAGCAAGCTCGTTGTTATTCATGCGAGCTCCTTTGTCAATTTCGCCCATACTCATCGAGCTTACCTACCAAGCTTGTCTGACCTCATCAAGTTCTCCTATCGAGCTCGCCTGCAGTTATCAAGCTATGCATCATGTTCGTCAAACAATCTTTTGAGGTTGCTTGAGCAGTAGAAAGAAGGAAACTCCTACCCGTCACCGTCCATGCTCATTCATGAGCCACCTAACACTCATGGTGATATCTTATCAACTATAGCTCAGCTGACTTCATACCTAACATTTATTTATTTTTTTCCTTAATGTAACCCTAGGGCAGTAAGGATACTCTAGGAGATGTATAAAGAGAAAGGTCCTTCCTACTTTGGGGAAGATTCATGAAGCAGAAAGGGTAAAAACTACAACCTGAAATCTTCCCTTCCCTTTGACCTCCTTCATTGATCTCACAAGATCTTTACTGGATTGTGTGAACTTACTAACTATATGTGATCCTACGTCCTAAAAGGATTCAATAGAGTTTAACCCTATAAGACATGCTTAGCAATTTCTTGTTAAAGAGTATCAATGCGCATTAGGGAGTGTAAACAAAGAAAGATCGAAATTGGGACATATGCATCATTAATCAAATCTATTTTTAATCTATAAATCTTAAGCTTATGAGTGAGGGCTATCCGCGTAATATTTTTTTATGTACGTTTCAGCCGCTCTTATGCTTATGCATGAGCTCTTGTTATGGTATGGCTCATATACCATATAGGGATAGACGCTGGAACGAAGCGGAGCAGAGCGGAGCGAAAGAATCTGTCCAAATTGGGAAGTTACGTTATATGGGTTGGGGCTATACGGTACAGGGGTAATTTGGGAATTACATATTGTACTGCAGGGCTTACTCTATGATTATAAATAGAACTGTTTGTAATCTTAGGTCTTTGAGAGAGTTGAATTTTGTATTCTGTATTCTTTTCTGAATCTTGAAAGGAACTCACCACTCTGCTCCCGAGGACGTAGGCATCTTTGCCGAACCTCGTTAAATCTCTGTGTTCTTCTGGTTTATGTTGATTCTTGTTTTTCTTCGCCCTATTTTTCTTAACAGCTCTCTATATCGACGGAGCTCTCTATATCGACGGTCAATCCAGAGAGCTCTCTATATTGGTCATCAATCTTGAAACTCTCTCTCTCAAAGCATTTTTTTTTTTTTTTTTGATAGAAACACTATATTTAACTTAGTCTGGTTATACGTGCAAATTCCTATTTTACAATTTCAATATAAGAAGAAAATAAAATTAGAATTTCTTTCTTTTGATTGAATGTAGATACATGTATGTATGAGATGAGTTTGTTGACACTACTTGCTGAATCTTTCTCTAAAAATAGAAAAATGTTCTCATAAAATTGATATGCATCTCATATAAGTCATCATGGTTTTTGAAATTTGTAATAATTATTTTTATATATTTTTACAGATATGGACACTCTATATGAACAATGAGCTTGAAAACATCATTGACGCATCCTTAGATGGCGATTTTGATGCCGAGGAGGCCTGCAGGTTTTTGAAGGTTGGACTCCTCTGCACTCAGGAGAACCCGAAGCTTCGTCCCTCCATATCCACAGTCGTAAAGATGCTCGCAGGTGAGATCGATGTCGATTCCTTCGAAATCACAGGGCCTGGTATGATCACTGACTTTATGGATCTGAAAGTAAGACAGAACAATCAGCATTTAGCTTCAAATGTGCTCTCTGCCATTAACTCACCTCTTGGGGCTTCACCCATATCTTCAGGGGACACCGCACATGCTGCAATAACTGATCGTCCATAGGCATTTCTGAAGCTTTAAATAACAGCCTCACTAATTTTTTTTCTTCTCCTGTATTATTGTATCATTCTGGGAAAAAAAATATAGGCTTGTGTATGGGAGAAATACAATTCATAATTTTTAAAAATTTAGGAAAATAACAAGATGAAATTTTTTGCTCTGGTCGGGCGGAATTATCATTATTTCTTTAGGGTGGGTAAAATCACTGAATATCTAAATTTTAATAAAGTATTGGGCAAAAAATTAATTTTCAACTTCTATGATCAAAAGCTATGACTCCGACTGGCAGAAACCGACTAGTGTTTTGGATAGATCCTATTTGTCGATATGACCTACCCATGGTACTAATCATCGAGAGAAGGACGAAATATGCCAAACAAGGATTAAAAGATTTCTGTCAAAACCAAGAGATCAACCTAAAGTTCATATTGGTTCATCGCATTGTCAATCTAAACAAAAGGAGCCTATTTAGCCCTAAAATCCTGATTTACATTGGGAGCACCGACAGAGGATTTTCTCAATTCATAATTTATGAGAGGCTCCATATGAGCGAATCATAGTCCTATAACTTCAAAATTGAATATTTTGATCAGTCATTCACCAGGGAACTCCAACGGTTGCCCTAAGCAATGACCCGGGTAGGGCGCCCCAAATCCTAACATTCCTTAGAGCGCTCGTAGGAGGATTCCATGACTTCTTTTGGCCACAGGAGGCTCCAGACGAACTTGCGGTGACTTCTAAACAATATAATGAGCACCAGATATGTCCTGTGCCCTGAATGAGCCCCTCTGATGGCAGGTTCTCCCGAGTAAGGCTAAATCACAGCCAACCCTATCTCCGTGCCCCGAACAAGTGCTAGAGAGCCCTCGATGGGTATCTTAAGCTACGGGAAGCTACAAACAACCCTTATACTATCTCGAGTCATGCAGGTGAACACTCTACACGCATGACATCAAAATGTGATGCCAACATTGGTATATAGCTGAAACAGTCACATGATATTTATGGGAAACGAATGTAAGGGAGTCGATGGGTGCATTAAACACCGTATTTATGATATCTTTCCATTAGTCATTCATGTGGTAACATGCAATAATAGAAAAAAAAAAATCATATCTTATTTCCAACAACTACAATGTTTCCAATGGGTGTGTTTTATTTCTATAGCCAAGACAATATTCATTCATATATAATTCAGATGTCACCACAATTATACCCTATACTCAGAAAACTCAGTAACACGTTTAGATAGATGCTATGCAGCCAAGTAGGCCCTTAAAAATTGAAATCAGTCAGCACAACTGTGCTTTTTTCAAATTCAACCGACTCTCTATCATGATAGTCAATATTTTTACTAAGGCAGATAGTTTAGTTATGGTTTAATAATTCATACATGAAATTATATTACTCGTCCTACAATGCTCAAACATTATAAATTTTTTTTATCTTTCGCTCCCATAACAATTTTCATGCTTGATGGCTAGATTCCCCTCTTTAAGATGAAAAATTTTGCAAAGAGTGGTGTGTGAATCACCCCAGATGCAACTCTAAATGGTTACCTCTGTATAGACAACGATAAGATATGTTTGATAAGTCTAGGATAAGACATCACCCGCTTCATGCGAGACCTAACCAAGAGACGATAGGCGGTAACCAGTTGAAAATATTTTTTAAGTCCTACTTTCTGATATTCATAATACAAATCATTCTCACAATACATCTCTATCATAGACAAATACACAACTTTAAAAATATTTTTTTTAAGTCATACTTTATGATATTCATAATATAAATCATTCTCATGATTTGTAAGACTTGAGTCAAGCAAATCATTCTCATAATACATCTCTATCATAGAAATAGACAAATACATATCTTTGAAAATATTTTTTTAAAGATACTTTTAATGTAAGACTTGATGTTCATACTTTTAAACATGATTCATTCATGATAGCTCACTTAGCTCATTAATGTAAGAAATCTTTATTGAAATGATATCGTCTGACACACCTAACTGAGAATTGACCACATTCACTCGCCATTAGATATCTTATCACTCGGCTTCTGTAGCCAAGTTTAGCCGTGTTCAACAAATATTTAAATAAATCTCAAGGTATGATAAATCTATAGTTCAATGCTTGTCCAGAAAAGAAACATTCACACTAATAAGGATTTCAGACATTTACTTGAGCAAAAGAAGAAGTGAAGGATGAGAATGACAATAAAAGGGTATAAACATAATTTACTTTTATTTGATTAAAAATAATTACACATGTTCTTACAAAATGAATCGACGAGAGGGATTCGCTAAGAATGTTGCATCATACATTCGATGAATCCCCTTCTCTCCTTTCCTCACTATCACCTTTCTTCTCCTCGGAATCAAAAGCTAGTTTTGCAAACTTTGTCATGTCGGTCCATGCGAAGAAACCACCATGTGGTCGAAATATTGGCAGATTATATTTGGGATTTTCTCCTTAAGGATGGCCTTCTACTCAACACTTGTTAAGGCTCCTCGATGAATTCTAGAGGAGTCTTAATGGTCGCTGTGTGCTCTTTCAACAACCTATTCTCTTTCTCCAAATCCTTGCACTATTCTAACATGGTATTTTCCATCGCTAGGACCCAGTTGGGTGACTCTGTCGCTGTGGAAGAAGTCACCTCCAGCAAGGAGATTTTATCTCATAAGGATTATCTAAGCTGCCTAAGCTTCTTTTTTTTCACCTTACCTGTTTTCAATGTATGAAGGAGGAGATCATCTGAGCGTCTAAAGGCGAGCAACCTCAAATGCAAAGTATCCCCTATCCAAACCAATGAAAGCAATAGCTATGAAGGAGATGAATTGTAGTATAAAGGCGATATGCGTATTGCACCCTATGAACCTCTGAGGTGTTCCAGTCCTTCATCCTACGAAGATAGTTTACCGACAACCCTCGTCCAACTTCACAACTTCATCTCCCTTCTTCTAAGGAGAGACCTACTTTAGAAGGCCGTCCTTCAAGGGCATCTTACTCTTTTCTAGCGCATTCCTCCTCACGACGAACACACTCTGATAACTAATTAGTCTCTACAGAAGACATGGGATTATTCTAGTCCTTTAAATTATAACGCATAATTTCTATTTCCTACAAGAATTAACTAATTAGTCTTTTTCTTCTAAATGAAGATAATAGAAGGAAAACACGAGTAAATGTATTGGCTTGTACCTATTGAAATTGCACATGTTCTCATCTCTCGTCCTTCTTTAGCTAAGGTTGTCTCTTCCTCGTCTTGGGTGACATTTTAAAATTGCCAATCCTCCTTGACCTTTAATAAAGGACAATCATATAAACACATAAATTGAAGCGACGATGAAACACTTTTATATAAATGAAATATAAGAATTTATTATAAAATGACCAAACACAAATAACTATATCAATTTTAAGGAGGAACAAAGAAATCCACACGTGGTTCTAAAACAATCTCAACCAAGAGATGAACCAGTTGAATGAGCATTCGAAACAAGAACATGCCCCTAGTCTTGAACTAACTTAGGCGATTGTACTCGGACTGAGCCTGGAGTAACAAGGATCTCTCCTTCACGTCCACCAACTCTTGGTAATGGTTCGTGACCACTTACTTGAGTGAGTCGACTCACCATGGATCACCATAAAATAAATTCAAACAAAAAATCAAAATATCAATTCTTGAATTTTTCTAAAATTTTTGAAGTGCTATCTCTTAGACTTTATTCTCTCTCTCCAACTCTAAACTAAAATCTCTTTTGTATTCCCACTTTCTCACTAATGTTGCATCACAAGAAAAGATTCATCCTTTTTCTCTCCTTATTAATACATTGTGGAGCATGAAACCTTGAAGAGCACATGATTTAGAGAAGAAAAAAATAACAATAAAGACTCATAGTTTGTATAAAATTATCATGTTTGGATACTAACATCATAAAATTTATGCACTACTAATTCCTCCTTCAAGCATTAAAAATTTGATCTTTAAAAATTATTATAAAAAATAAAAATTGAGGAAGAACTAAGTATTTATGTGTACACAATTTATTACAAATTTACCAAAATTTGTAACAAAAATTCATGCTTTAAATATCATAGTTATATTTGCTTATTTTCAGCTAAAAAACCTATGAGAAAATCTAGAAAAAAAAATATTTAATTATTTTAAAAAAAATAATGGTTGCCATATTATTTGCTTGGGAAATTTGTATGCACACCCAAAATTTTTCATATATTTACATATCTAATACATAAGTTTCTATATTTACATGTATAAATATCAAATTTTCAACATCAAATCCAAAATATCACTCTCACCAACTTTTAAGAGTGAAACATACATTTCCATATATAGGGGTTATAATATTAAAGTGTCATAAATGTAAATATCAAACTTTGAAGGTTAGACATGTAAATAGAAGAATTGTTTGGTATATTTATGTAAATCTTCTTATTTGCTTTAGTTAATTGCATTATAATTGCTCTGATAATTAAGATATTAGCTTATTTTTGCCTAATGATCTCAAAATTTTGAAACAGAAGGTTTCTAGGAAACCACAAGTCTCTGTTTCTGGTAGCTGCATTTTTTTTATTTTTTTTATTTTTATTTAAAATAAAATTTATTTTATATGTTATAACATATTTAATTATTTAAAAAAAAAACTCAAAATAACTTTGAAATATTTTGAATGCTTTTCAAAATAATTTAATTTACTTTTTTAAAATTAAAATGAAAATAAAAGACAAACCCAAATCAGCTTCTATCAAATCTTAAATCAGAAGAATTAAATATTCAGGGTACAATGTTAAACCAGATGACATAATAGATATTTAAATTATTTTAATATAATTAAAATAATTGAAAAATGATATATTAATATCATTTTTGATTGAACAAATAATATTTTAATTTAAGATATGTTTTGAATATTTTGAATAATATTCTAAATATTTTTTTCTTTTTTTTAATTTAAATATATTATTCAAGTCATCCGATCAAAATCATAAGGCTAAAATTAAATAATATTTGAACCGGACAGTTCTTTAAAGATCGTACTAGTACCGGTTCACCGTTTCTCCGATTGAACCCCGATTCTGACAGATTCAATCTCGATTCTATGCAGAAACGATTTTGAGCATGAACCGAACCGGTTGAATGACCCGTTCACGGTTGAACAGGTCAAACCAACCATCCTGATTTGATATTTAATTAAAACATGATAAAAACGGTCGCCAAGCAAATGTGTGATAGTAATTTTAAAAATAAAACAGGCAAAAAAAAAAAAAAGAATGAAAATTATCACAAGAGCTAAAGAGTTATT